AAAAAAAAAAAAAAAAAAAAAAGATACAATACTAAGGAGAAGAAAAAAAGTAAATCAAGGTAAACATGTGGGAGAGGAGGTCTACTGCAGTATTAATAAGGTTAAGTCGGGGTAGGCTTCACTAAGAAGGTAATTTTTTGAGCAAAAACAGGAAGGCAGTGAGAAAGTGAGCCAAGTGACTTATCTGGAGAAATGTACTAGGTAGCCAAAACAATTCAGGTAAAAGCCCTATAGTGGAACTACGCCTGGTATGTCTGAGGAGCAACAAGGAAGCCATTGGTTTGAGCACAGTAAGAAAGGCAATATTATTATATGCCACTATAGAACAAATCAAGAAAAATTGTAACTATTTTATTGTCTTAACTGAACTTAGAAACATAGAAGCAGTACTTATATTTTTAGGGGAGTAGCAGTTGAAGACAAGTCAGAAAGGCAATGGAAGGTCAAATTATGGAAGGCTTTACAGCCATCATAGAAACTGGTTTTTTACTATGAATGAAATGAAGAGACATCAGAGGATTCTAAGCAAAAGAATAGTATGATCTGACTTTTTAAAAAGTGTATGATTTTGGTTGCTATATTGAAAATACAGGACAGTCTAGCTGTGGCATGGTGGTGAAAGTGGCTGGGTCTCAGATGACCAACTGTATGGGTTTGAGTCCTGGACCAAGCAGCTTGAAAAACATGACAGGCGGACATTGTCCAAAATTCTAAATAGAGGGATAAATGGAAAAAAAAGACTGTGGTGTGGCCATTGCCCATGAGGGGTGCTTTCTCCCTCTTTCTCTCTCTCTCTAGCCAGCACACATGCCTTCCAGCAAAAGAAAGACATACAAAAGAGGGACCAGCAGTTAGTGTAATGGCTATGTCGCTGGACTCCCATGTAGTTGACTGTGGTTCGAGTCCCGGACCCAGTGGCTTAAACTCACGCCGGGCACATGTGCATGCGTGCCCCAGATCCTGAGAGGAGAATGGAGGAGAAGGAACTGTGGCGTGGCCAACCCCCTGGGAGGTGATTTCCTGCTTTCTGTCTCTCTGTCTCTGTCTGTCTGGCGAGCGCACGCGCCCTATAGCAAAAACCTCTCTAAAAAAAAAAAAATACAAAAGAAAACAAAGAAAGAGAAAATAAAGTCTGGCTTATAGGCTACTTCAGAAGTCCAGGCAAGAAATGATGGTGACTTGGACAAAGTAGAAGTAATGAAAGTGGGTCAAGAGTTTGAATTTGGTATATATTTTGAAGGTAGAACCAACAGAATTTTCTGGTGAATGAAACACAGGATACGAGCTAAAGCAACTCAAAGGATATAAAAAGAAACTAAGAGCAGATCTAGAGGGAAAGAATAGAGGTTTTTTTAAGGACATTCTGAATTTGAGATGCTTTTAGACGTCTAAGAGAAATATTAAGTAGGTAACTGAACATGAATCTGGAGCATGAAGAAGAGGTCTGGCCTAAAGATACAAACTTGGGAGTCCCAGTACATTGATAGTGACAGACAGAGGGGAAAAGAGATCCAAAAATGCTTCCCAAAGAGCCTTAATAGTAAGAAGTTGAAGAAATAAAATGGAACCAGCAAAGCACACTACAAAGAAACAGTAAGTGAAGTAAGAGGAAGAGAAAAATGATCCACTGGATCAAATGCTGCTGTTAAGTATACAAAGTAGGTTATACTACTGTCTTCTACACAAACAAACTGAGCTCCAAGAAATTAAGTAGGTCTGTCTGGGGCCAGCAGGCGGCACAGTAGTTAAGGGGCTGGACTCCCAATATGGCTGACTGCAGTTTGAGTCCTGGACTTGGAAGTTTGAAAATTGTGCTGGGCACGTGTGCCTGCATACCAGGAGGAGGAGGAAAAAGAGGAAGAGAAGGAATTGTGGCATGGCCACCCTCCCTGGGGGGGGGGGGATTTCTCACTTTCTTTTCCTCTGTATCTCTCTGGCAAGTGCACACACCCTATGGTAAAAAAGAAAAAGAAGAAAAAAATTTGTCTGAGATCTCCTAACCCTTAGGTATGTTGCTTATATCACTTCATGACCATAGAGTCACAGCCAATAGGCTGGAAACAGTTTTAGGAGCTTTCTTCAACAGGTGATGGAAACTAGAAGAGTAATTGGAAAGAAAAAAAAATTGGGACCAGCAGTTGGCACAATGGCTATGTCACTAGACTTTCTCATAGAACAAATAAATAAAATTAAAAAAAAAATCTAAATATCAATCTTCACTACTTTAAAAAAAAAATATCAAGCCAAAGGATGCATGTTCTTGCCAGAGAAAGACAGAAACACACACACACACACAAACAGGAGAGTGGGGCGGGGGACCCCCCAATAGCAGGTGGTCACATCTAAATCCCTTCTCCTCCATTCTCCTTTTGGGATTTTGGACATGCATGCACATGTGCATAGCCTGTTTTTCAAGCTGCTTGGTCTGGGATTTGAACCACACAGTTGGCCATGTGGGATTGGTCATGCCATGGGCTGGCCCAATTTTACCAACTTCTGGTTGAAGGGGAAAAAAAATGCATAGATGTGAATACCAAGGCAAATACTGGCAAAACATAATAAAAAAGATAAATAAAATGGTTGACATTTAAAAAAAATCATCAATGAGTATTTTTTAAAATTTTATCTATAGTATAAACCAACAAAGGCTTATTTCATGCAAGTCTTTTCGTTGATTGTAATGGTGCTGGTATTTTTAATCTGACATTATTTGTTTTGAAGACCTTTAATAAGGTCTTCAAGACCTTATTAAAACAATAAGTACAGGTGTCGAACTGAGATTAACAACAAAGCAGCATTTTAAAATATTCTCATAGTCCTGAATAAAAATTCTGGGACACTCTAAAATCCATCTGACTGCTCTTGAGTATTAATTCATTTGTTTTCATCTAAAATTTTCAGCAAGTATGTTTTCTAAAGTATTAATTTTTTTGTTTAAAAAAAGCAGCAACTACTGAATAAGACCTGAAGTGCTTGATAGAATGGAAATGAACTAAATATTTTCCAGTAACTTCCAATACAAGCTAAGAATTACTAATTTGGAAAAAAAGGGGAAGGGCACAAACCCATCCGTGACCTAGAAGTAATTAAATCATTAAAAAATGAGTGCTCTTTTAAAAAGGAAACCATGGGCCAGCCAGTGGTTTGGTGGTTAAAGCGGTTAGATCGCACACAGCCTACTGCATGTACCCGTGTGCTCAAAATCCTGAAAGGAGGGATGGTTAAGGGAATATGACGTGACCATCCCCCATGGGAGATGCTTTCTCACTTTCCCTGCATGTCCTCTAGCAAATTTAAAGGAAAAAAGAGAGAAACTTTGAGAATAAGAATACTGATGTAGTCGTATTACTTAAGACTGACAAACCAATTTTGTGCAATAAGACAGAAATGTTTTCACTACATTTTATATACACTTTCCCCAATGTAAAATCTGTGCAAAAAATCCCCTCAAAACACTGACAGTGAACCAACTCCTAAACTAGAGGCCATCCGTTTAAAAACGAGCAGTGAAAAGGTTCTGCTAAATCCTATGTATACATGTAGGATTCAGACCTTTCTGAGCTCTTCTATATAAGGCTGCAACCAGATCAAATTAATTGTGTTCCACAGCAAAGGCAAAAATGCTGGGTAAGAATCTTGTTTCCCTGCTAGATATATAAGAACTGTGGAAACTAGTATAAACTAACAGGGCAGAATCTTCACAGAATGAAAACTCTAGAATCTCTAGATTATATCTTATTTTTTTCTCAAGTGGGAAAAACATCCCAGACTTAATCCCAAACACAAATTATTTTAAAGCAAAATGACAGTATTACATTCCCCCAAAATATTACTTGAATAAAGGTCATGAACTGGTCCAACACACTTAACTGACCGTTTTATGAATTACAATGAATGCTGCTACTCTCTAGAAATGAATGTATCAAAGAGGAAATAACCTCCTTGGCATGCTTACAGCTATACAACACATTCATTTCACTGCTTTCAAACGCCAGTGCTGGAGGGTCAGAATAAGTCAATGGGAGGAGGATTTCAGTCACAGCAGCAAGAAGGTCTACTCAACAAATAAGGTAACATGCTGGGAAGAATATCAAGCCAAAGAAGGGTAAGTATTTAAATGAATACATGTTAAGTTAACCTAAAGGTTTTTAATTGAGCTTAGTTTTGTTTTAACTTTCAAGAACTCTGCTACCAAAATCTTTCATTTCTACTCACTGCTTTAAAATTCAAAATGGAATGCCAACGGGAGGGATTTTTAATATGGGGTTTGTAAACTTCATGAACACATAGTTTAATCTTCCTTGTAGGCCCCCTTCCTTCCCATCAGGAACTGAGAAAGTTAAGGAAAAATATCACTACTTAAACAAGTTCTAGTTTGAATCTGGAAAATTTAGCAATCAAACTTAGAAAACATTTGTTGCAGAAACATGCTATTAAAGATGAAAGTATTAAAATATTGTTTGGATCCTAGTAATATCTATTTTTTTCCTTCTCTCAAACTAAAGTAATTCTAAAATGCTTTATAAAAATGGCATTTGTATCATCAAATCAATATTACAATAAAGCTAATGAGGCAAAACTAGTGACATACAAGGTTATCTATCTAGTAAATTATTTATTTAGACTTTCAGTTGAGCATGGAGTGTTTCTAGGTGGGTGGCCATCGTGTACTGAAAGTTCTGTTTATAACTATTTATACTATGACTTCTCTATTCTTCTGTGCTATTCTAAAGTAAAGGTAAAAAAACACTCAAGGGTCAGGAAACAGCTAGCTTTTTATTATAACCACTGAAAAAAAATTAATTTATTTCTTGTTTCATTAATTGGAGCAGATCAGAAATATAATATTTTGGTGGAAATGGGCTACATTGTCACAAATGTCAAACGAACCAATCGAGAAGGAAGAGGCTATTAAAATCAAGTTTTTTTTCTTAACTGCTTTTTGGAAATAATACAATCTACATGTTTTGCATCTAGGGGGAACTCTATGGCATTCAAGTTCAAATACAAGTTTATAACTACAGTAAAAAACAAAGAGAGAGAAAGAGAAACTAATAAGTAGCTTATTTTTCATAGCTATTGGTTCCTCTCACCAAGTCTTCTATTTAATAAAATCTGAGCCTTCGGAAAACACAAAATACCTGAAGGTCTTACCTACAAACATGGACAGATGTGTACCCTCTCATTTCAGAGAACTGGAATTTTTTTTTTTTTTAAAGCAAAGAGTCCACTTTGGCTTTGAGCATTTGGCGTGGGTACAATGCCTTTAAAAAAGCAGATGACCAGCCTAGCCACTGACCACTGCCCGGAATTGGATCAAATCACAGAAAAACGGTGAATGGCTCTTATAGAATGTCTGAACAAAGCGAGATTTTGCAGAGCACGTTTGATCATTTAATCTCTTCTAACTGGTCTGGATTACAGACAGAATCAATACCAGAGGAAATGAAACAGACTGTAGAGGAACAGGGAAATAAATTGCACTGGGCAGCTCTTCTGATACTCATGGTGATAATACCCACAATTGGTGGAAACATCCTTGTTATTTTGGCTGTTTCACTGGAGAAAAAGCTACAATACGCTACCAATTACTTTCTAATGTCCCTGGCGGTGGCTGATTTGCTGGTTGGATTGTTCGTGATGCCGACTGCCCTCCTGACAATAATGTTTGGTAAGTATTTCACTTTGTTCTTGCCATCAAACCACAGAATTCTGATATACTAGTAGGGAACGAGACACTAGTTTAATCCTTGTTTTCCTCAAAATAAAAAACAGACTTAAACTTTAAAGAGTCAGTAAATAGTCCCTTATTTTTCACCATTTTCTGTGGTTGATAATCACTTTTGGATGGGAAATATTAATTTATTAGAAGCATTTTTTCCTCCCTTCTCAGCCATTTATTCAAATGGTTTAAGTCATTCAAATTAACAATATTCATGGATTCTACATGTTTCTTAAAAACAATGTAAATAACCCTATTACCTTAGTTCTTCTATCAATCTTTTTCTTCCTTAACAAAGCAATAACTACGACACCTCTGGGAAAGGTATGTGCTGTGTAATATAATAGTAAGAAGGTCTTTGAATTGATAAACAATCATTAAGTCTCAACTTAAATCACTAAACCACAATTTAAAATTGGTAGTTTTCTAAAAATTCTTGTTATCTCTCTTTATAGCTTGTGTACCTTAAGTTGAACACAATTCCTCCATGTGTCATGTTAAGAAAAATTTATATTTACCTGATCAAGAAAGTGGTTTGACTCAGAGTGTCCCAAGAGATGACCCATCTGTTCTATTTTTATGATATCTGTTTTTGATAGCCCTCTGAGTTAATAAAGTAAGTTGACCAAAACTTTAATTATAATAATAAAAAAGTAGTTTAATATTGAAATGTTAATTTGTTACAGTAAAAAAAGAGTAGCTTCTGATTTATGCATATCTAATCTAGTTTTAAAATGCGGGTAAACAGAAGTTGATAAATTATAAGGGCTTCTAGACCCTTGAAATCAGCGTTCAGAGATATTTAACTATTTAATGCTTGGTATTAATTGGTATTCCATTCATAAAACTATTTAATGCTTGGTATTAACTGGTATTCCATTCATAAATTGCTTAAAAATGATTATTTGTGGCACATATACTTCTTAAGAGTTATATGGTGATGATAAAAATATTGTTAAGTCATAGAAGTAAAATTTATTAACCTAGAATATACAAGGTGAAGAAATATTGCTATTCCAACTACTATAGAAAAAAGCTACATTTTTATTTAAAAAGATATCTAAAATTAAGTACTCATTTCCTCAAATATAACCAGACGATGATGGGTTTAAGCTTGATGATGGCTTAAATTTGCCACACTACATCAACATTTATACAGGCTTTAAAGAGAATAAAAAAATTCTATAGCAGGATAAGCAGTAATAAGTAAGGTTCTACTGCTTTAATCAGACTTGCTAATCATTAATATTATCTTTCTACCCAACCCCCTCTCCCTATTGTAATTGTTAATTCAATAATCAAATGATACAGGTAATTAGAAAATAACTAAGAAGTCATTCTTTACTGGAAAATCGAAACATTTCATTTTTATAAAGTTTAAAAGAAATAATGTAAATAAATATTACATAGGAATATATACCCACATTTGGTAAAGACTGTACAGTCATATAATTTAAGCTTTCATCTCTATGCACATAATAGCTTTAAGTATAAACTCATACTCTTTGAACTGTGCTTTGCTAAGCATACAGATAACTTCAAAATGCTTATTCATAAAATTTAACTGTTATACTGAATAATGAAAATGAATGAGTTATGCAGAAGTGAATTTTAACTCTAAAATCCTTAAGTCCATAAATATCAATCATCTACTACATGCAAAGTACTATGGAAAGTATTAATTATCGGCTAACCAGTTAAGGAGTCTCAAGACAGAATTCTACAGTATAAAAGTGAGCTGACAAAATACGAAAACAGATCACAGAGATAATTCCATGCATTCTATAAGGAAACAGTACATATATAGAAGCTGGAAATTTTAAATTTATATTTAAAATACTGGTGCCCAAAATATTCTTAGCAATAAAAGGTAAAAGAAAAACCCAATATATTGATATGTTAGCATAAAATATGTGAAGTGTCTTATCCATGTCTTAATAATTATACACTTTAAAGATATTTTTTGCTTTAAATGTTAATTTTTTAACTACAAAAGAAAATCTTTCATAGTCCCAAACATTTTTTATTATCAGTAATGAAGCATAAGCAGGATTAAGGTGGTTAAAAATGGGGGTGGGGGGTGGGGGGTGGGACGGGACTTTTTTTGACAGGGTCTTGCTATGTTGCAATCCCCTGCCCTAGCCTCTGGCTAGCTAGGACCACAGGTGTGCACTGCTGTGTCAGGCCTGTTTAGATTAGGCCAGGAATGAACCTAGGCATCCCCTATCGCCCCGTCATCTTGCAGAGCCACTTTCTTTCTTGAGTCAGTGTGGCTGGGCTGGTTAGCATTTTTTAAAAATGAACTAACCTGGGAACTACTTTTTTTTTTTTTAAAGAGGTTTTTGCTATAGGTCACATGCACTCGCCAGAAAGACAGAGAGACAAAGAGACAGAAAGTGAGAAATCACTCCCCAGTGGGGATGGCCATGCCATAATCCCTTCTCCATTCTCCTCTCGGGATCTTGGGCATGCACGCACACACGCCCAGCATGAGTTTAATCCACTGGGTCTGGGACCCGAACTGAGGTCGACTACATGGGAGTCCAGTGACATAGCCATTACACTAACTGCTGGTCCCTGCTTAACTACTATTTAAAATATAATTGCATCAGTTCATTATTAAAAACACAAGTTTATAAGAAAATGTATGAGAACGTGTACACTGTCCTCTAAAAAGCTTCAAAGGCTGCATTCATAAATTGGTAAGTGACATACTACAAAAGATGACCTGACTTCAAATACTAAGATTTTGTTTACAGCCTTTCACATGCTGAAATAACTACTAACGCTTTCTTTCTTTTTTTTTTTTTTTGGAGAGGTTTTTTTCGCTATAGGGTGCGTGCGCTCGCCAGACAGACAGTGACAGACAGAGAGACAGAAAGCGAGACATCAACCCCCAGGGGGGATGGCCATGCCGCAATCCCTTCTCCTCCATTCTCCTCTCGGGATCTTGGGCACGCACGCACACGTGCCCGGTGTGAGTTTTAAGCCACTGGGTCCGGGACACGAACCACAGTCGACTACGTGGGAGTTCAGTGACATAGCCATTACGCTAACTGCTGGTTCCCAACTACTAACACTTTCTAACTAGCACATTTATTAGAATTTCTGATACCTTTAAAGAGAGTTGATTTTTCATATATTTTTCTCTTATCACAAGGATAATCTTCAAATTTTGCAAAGATTATTGGGACCAGCAGTTAGTGTAATGGATATGTCGCTGGACTCCCATGTAGCCGACTGTGGTTTGCATTCCAGACCCGGTGGCTTAAAACTCACACCGGGCACATGCGCATGCATGCCCAAGATCCCGAGAGGAGAATGGAGAAGGGATTGCGGCATGGCCATCCCCCCTGAGGGGTGATTTCTTGCTTTCTGTCTGTCTCTGTCTGGTGAGTGCACATGCCCTATAGGAAAAACCTCTCCAAATAAATAAATAAATAAATAAAGATTATTCAAACAAATGTGCCCCTGGTTTGGTAATCCTAAAAGATTAATTACCACTATGAGCAATTTTAGCTATTTCAAGGAAATTTAATGAAAGTAACATAGAAACTTTACACTAGCTAGTATTATTTTAAAAATGAGTTTTAAAAAAGAGAACAGTAAACTTAAAAACTGGTCCATGAGCCCTTACACTGAGTGATATTTTATTCAACCACTGGTTTGTACATTGTTTAACGATACACTGGTTGAATTTCTGTTTTACCAGATTATGACAATTCTGGCACAATACTGCCTTTCAAATGAGTTATGCTACACAACTTTTCTGCCACTGCTTTGCCATTTCTTCCTATCTGGACGCATTAGACTCGATCTTTATTGTCTTGCCCATTAATTCCTAAAAATCCACGATCATAAATCAGTAGCTTATAACAAAAGGCTTGAAATGGCTATGCTTAAAATACTTGAGCAGGAAGAAAACAACATCTCATGTCAATAAAGAATAGGATGTTTATCATTTCAGAACTTCTCTAGACTTTTCCTTCTTTCATTAAATGAATGATTTAAAATGTAGAGGGAAAAAGAACACAGTATTTGGGCATTGCTGGTTTATTTATAACAAGTGTTAATTCATGCCTCATGATCTGTTAGTTGAAACAGTGTCCGGGTATAGCTGGAAAAGGGTGTGTAAAATGGCTGAATGGTACCCCCCCACATGTTTATTGCAAATTAAATTATGTGGTTTATTTGAGAGGTCAGTCTAACCAGATGGCACAGATATATACCAGCAAAAGAAAAAAGTCAGTTATTCATTTATACAGTGCAATGGCATTCTACCTGATTGAGAAATTGGGGAGCAGAGTAATTTAAAGATTCTTCTTTTTACAAAGTAAAAAATCTAAAAAACCGAGGAAGCAGGGTGGCATAGTGATTACAAAAAACCACAACACCAGGGCTGGCAGGTGGTGGTGTGGTGGTTAAGGTGCTGGACTCCTGCATGGCCAACCATGGTTCAAGTCCTGGACCAGGTGGCTTGCTTTCTCACTTTCTCTCTCTCTGATCGAATCTAATAACAGTAATAAAAAATAAAATTAAATGAATAATCCTTAAAAGCAAACAAAAACACAGGGTCTCCTCATGCTGTGATCCTCTTTCGGGGGCTCCCTGGCTCCTCAGGACCCTAGGTGTTTGAGCCCCATATCTGAACCCACAGTTGGCCGGCCATATGGCTTCCAGCCTTGCAAGGCATTTGCCTTAATGCTATGTCAGAAGAGCTAGGCCTCTGTAATAGTTTTAATTTCCACTTTTCTGCATCAAAATTGGAGTTTATAAATAAATTCATTCTATTGAAAAGTGAAGTGAACAGAGCTTTATAAGGGTTAATTAATTCAACACTAAAATGCTTTCCCTTTCAGCTCACAATTCAAAGTATGAGGGTCAGAGCTGAATTCCCAAACCATGTTCTTTTTCTATAAGAGTTCCCTTGCGGCTTCTTGCTCATGGCTACTAGATTTATTACTAGAATTTTCCAAGTCTTTATTTTTAAAAGTATAATCCAAAATTGGAAGAGCTAAATGGACATTTGAAATATTAGCAAACCATTTAAAAACACACAGGGGAAGCACTTAAAGAAAGGAACCCTAAGATACTATAATTACGTCTTTTAAATTCTTAACTATGATTAGTATCTCTGGTTACAATTCTAACTCTGAGTATTTCCCATGTCGCTCCTCAGTCTGAAATCTAGAACTTCAGGTCCATTTAGAATGTAGCCTCACTTCAAGTAGTTTCCGTGGCAAAATCCTCTCAATCATTTGTGGTTCTGTTCACTGTCCTTAGACTTAGTTTGCTTTTAGCTTTAGGTGGGAGAGTACACTGCTGCCTTTGTCCCAGGTTCTTTTTCAAATTTACAGAAAACGTGAATGCTATGACTGAGAGGAGAAAACTGGTGAGATTCTAAGTACAGTTTTCTCTGCCCTATAATTAAATGTGCTTTTCTTTGAGTGTCTTCCCATAAGTTCCTTTCTATGAAGCATTCTGAGTGACTATCCTATACCAGCAAACCTTGGTGTGCACATGTGCATGCATGCCCAAAATCCTGAAAGGAGATCGGAGAAGGGATTGCAGTGTGGCCATCTCCCTTACGGGGTGATTTCTCACTTTCTGTCTCTCTGTGTCTAAGGTGAGCACAAGTGCCCTAGAGCAAAAATCTCTTAAAAAAAGAAAGAAAGTTTTCCCAAAGTGCTGCTTTTCAAACAGCATTCATACAAATCACCTGGTGATCTTGTTTAACTGCAGAGGCTGATACAGCAGGTCTGGGCTAAGACCCAAGAGCCGGCCTTCCTAGTAAATTGCCGGGTGATGCTAATCCTCGTCCACTAATCTGAAAAAGTGTACACTGAGTAGAAAGGTTCTAAAGAACTTGCTTAATGTTCAGCTCTCGATAAATAAATACCTCCCCTCCCACCCCATATTCAAACACTTAATTGTATCTGAATTTACTCTTCTGCAAAGCCAGTAGTATCCCAGAAGTCCCTTGTAGTTCACTGAATCTGTAATTTACCACCTCCATTCTTTCCCCTCTCCAATTCAGCAAGTGAAGCAACCAAAGCTTATTTACAGTAATTTACTTAAAAGAACAAATGACTCCTTCTTCCTGATGCTTTAATTCCCTTTTAAGAAGCTTCTGAACATAGAATCAAATACCAAACAATAATTTCTCCTTTTGAATAGATATTCATACTGATTTTGTCATTTTTGTCTCTAAGAATAAATTTTTAAAAATTATTTAATTTTATTTATTCATTCATTTTATTTTAATTTGATCAGAGAGAGAGAGGGAGAAAGAGGAAAAAGTGGAAGAGAAAGTGAGAAAGCAAGCCACCAGGTCCAGAACTTGAATCATGGTCAACCATGTGGGAGTGTCCAGTGCCTTAATCACCTCACCACCTGCTGGTCCCTGAATAAATATTTTAATACTCTTATTAAGAATGCCACCGAGACCAGCAAGTGGTGTGGTGGTTAGGGGTGCTGGACTTCCACATGGCCAATTGTGGTTTGAGTCCTGGACCTGGTGGCTCACATTCTCGCTTTCCCTC